CCCACTCCTGGTACCAATTCCGTATTCCCATGACCTTCAGCAAGCACCTCAGCAGGTCTTGGTTCTTTTCCTGGTGGAGTGACCCATACCTTCATTCCTGAAGGTTCTGGACCATTTGTCATTGTGCCTGTATTAGGTTGTTGTAGTTTTCCATTGACTTTAATAATAGGGCAAGGTAATATTAAGAGGCGCCCTAAGGGATCTTCTGCATTCCATGTGTATTCTTCTTTTTCTCCATTGTGGAGTAGTAGTCCAATTTCCCCCTGATAGTCTGGGTCAATCACCCTTGACAACACTGTGATCTCCTTTTTAACTTGTTTCCTCAGAGGCATGAGGAGACCAAAATGACCAAGGGGAAATCTTAGCTTCCAGTTCAATGGTATCATTGTTGTGCTTCCTAGTGCAAGCCTTCCCCCTTCTGGAACTAAGACTTCTAAGCCAGCAGAACATAAGGTCGCGGGGACAGGAAGCAAAAATTTTGCTAGTGGATCACTAGGGGTAATGGTGAATGGTACCATTCCTACTTCCACCCCTTGATTCCTGGACCCATGAATCCTGGCAATGGGGGACACAGTGCCATATAGTGGATGCTGATTCAAAGCATATACAGCCTTTTGAAGCACCTTACCCCAGCCCTGCAAGCTATTGCCACCTAGCTGGCACTGTAATTGTGTCTGCAAAAGACCATTCCACCTTTCTATCAGTCCAGCTGCTTCTGGGTGGTGAGGAACATGGTAAGACCAATGAATTCCATGAGCAGGGGCCCATTTCCTCACTTCTTTGGCTGTAAAATGTGTTCCTTGGTCAGAGGCAATGCTATGTGGAATCCCATGACAGTGGACAAGGCATTCTGTGAGTCCACGGATGGTAGTTTTGGCAGAAGCATTATGTGCAGCAAAGGCAAATCCATATCCAGAATACGTATCTATACCAGTGAGGACAAAGCGTAGTCCCTTCCGTGATGGAAGTGGTCCAATATAATCAACCTGCCACCAGGTCACAGGTTGATCACTATGGGGAATGGTGCCATACTGGGGACTCAGTGTTGGTCTCTGCTGCTGGCATAGTTGGCATTCAGCAGTGGCTGTAGCCAGATCAGCCTTGGTGACTGGGAGTCCATGTTGCTGAGCCCATGCATAAGCTCCATCCCTGCCACCATGGCCACTCTGTTCATGAGCCCATTGAGCAATGAAGGGGTGGCTTTAGAAGGAGGTTGGCATCCACAGACCGGGTCATAAGATGGTGCACTGCGGGCCTCCAGGAAAAGCTTACTGCATTGGCTCGGGACCTCACTGCTGCCGACGATGGCTGTGGTACCTTTTGGGGGAGCTCTGGTTCTTCTGAGCATCACTTCCTGGCTCCAGTGCAGATCCCTCAGCCTGCTAGCACAGGTCCTTCATCCTGCTGGCAAAGACTTTGTAGATTCCACCACTGACCTTTGGGCCTTCCCAGCAGATCCGTGAAATAGGCCTGCATGAGATGTTGTCATGGGCTCTGGGCCTCCAGTTGGACTCGTGGGAGGCATTGTTATGAGCTCTGGGTATTCAGCTCAACTCATGCAGGACATTGTTGTGGGATCCAGGCCCTCAGCTGGATTCCTTGGTCTTACTGTGTGGACAGATTTCCTGCACTCTTTTGTATACTGTTCTTTGGGTGGCTATCATAAATAATCATATAAAGTATGTGTCCTGTATTATATTGTTCCCCTTGCAAAATAAGCCCCAAACCGACACAATCTCTTTTGTTAGAGGGACTTGCCTGTGAACCTAAGATGGGAGAAGATACTTCTTTTCCCCACATGTAGTAAAGGCCCATTTAAATTTTGTTAAAGTTTTACCTCATCATTTGTTGGCAGCCACTGGAGCTGGAAATTAGCCATATGTGTGAGGGCAGGACAGAGCCAGAGTGCCTAAGCAGTTAAGATACCTCAATCTTGAGAAAGACAAACTGCCTGGACAATTATAGTCGTTAGTCGCTAGGCAACATTACCTCTCATGATACGAACTTTGCAAGAGTATAAAATAAATGCTTCTACTGTTGAAGTTAGGTCCTCTTGCCAATCACATAAGGGGTCGCCTTCACCTGACCCAGCTCTTGTCTCTTGTCTTTATTTTACTCATACCCACCGCCGTTCCCATCCGGG